GCCACAGCAGTGAGGACAGGAGCTCCGTGAGGGGCCAGCACAGGGCTGACTCACTCGGATGGCTGTGTTTGCCACTAAGACCTAATTTCCTTTTGGTGCTCATCTCCCTGTAGCTATGAGTCCACATACCCTACATAGATGCTGTAACATCCGTGTAAGGCAAAGTGCTCATCTCTGTTGAAGAGCAAAGAAACTTCCCAACAGCCTCCTAATATGATATCCTGATGTCACATTGGCCAAGGAAATCTTCACACAGTGACTGCTGAGACCACTCCAGGACCAGTGACCAGATCACTGGCAGAGATGGGAGAAAACCAGAACTCTGCCAGCACGGAATGAAAGCCAGGTGGGTGCCAGGTTAGCTGGCCCCTAAGACAGGTTTCCACACCTACTTTTAAGGATGAAGAAGCCAAACCAGGCAGCAGCAGGAGTGGACAGCTGGTGATGGCAGAAATGAATCTTAAGTCAGTTTTAGCTGGCTGTCACCATTGACTAGCACCTACCCCAATGACCACTAATTGAGAAAATGCCTTACAGTTGGATCTCCTGGAGGTATTTCCTCAACTGAGGCTCCCTCCTCTCTGATGACTCCAGCTGTATCAGGCTGACACACAAAGCCAGCCAGTATAACGACCAAGGCAATTCTCAGAAAGCACTCAACTGAGGCTGGCTCACAATTTCAGAGGCTTCTTGCATTACCATCATGGCGGGGAGCATGGTGGCATGCAGGCGGCCACGGCGCTGGAGAAATGACTGAGAGCCGTACATCCACGGGCAGCATGGAAAGAGAGACACTGCCTGGCACAGTGTCTTTTAAAACCTCATGGTCCACCCACCTTGACACACTTCCTCACATTGACCACACCTTCTAATCTTTCTAATCCTTTCAAAGAGCTCCCCTCACTGGTGCTGAGGCATTCAAATACATGAGACTCTGAGGGCCATTCTTACCAAACCACCGCATTCATAATCTTCCCACTCTAGCCAGACCCTTACGGCTGAGGAACTGGCGATGATGGACAGTTTTTCACGGATGGCACAGAGTAGAAAGGGCGGATACTCGGCCCCAGCCACACTCAGAATCCCACGAGCACTCAAGCTACGTGTGCAGTAGGGAATAGTTTTAGGAGCTTTGTCTTGCTTCAGCCTGTCTCTCTGCTGGCTGTTGAGAGCGCTTGTTCATCTGCACCATTTCTAACATATTCTTCTGTCTTGCTAATGATAGGAAACTCACTGCTGTGGAGTTCCATAAAGCATTATCTCATTATCTCCTTTCGCCTCTCATTGCAAAGTGCTTTGTAGCACAGAAAGTGGGGTATGGAAAAAATTAATTTCATTAAATTAATCGAGAGTGTCATGACTGCTCAGTTATGACTCGGGTGCATTTGTAGGAGGGCCCGTCTATGCATCAAAGTTTGTCCTTTATTGTGCCATTTTTCCTCCCACGTGTACCCACCAGCTTCCCGAGCAAGGAAGAAATAACTCTAAATAGCAAGCTCTTCAGAAATATTGTTGCCACCAGCAACCTGGAAAATCCCAAATCAGAACATGACTTTATATGGCCACCGAGCAGACTCAGGGACGCTCCAGCTACCCTGTGATGTACAAATACCAATGCCGCACACAGCACGCTCTGCTTCAGACAGCCATGTGAGATGCAGCGCTCGCTCCTAGACTTTCAATTTCCACAAATAAATGCTTCTAGCTTTGTGAACACAGATCCTTTTCCGCTTTGCTTACAAAACCCATGCCTGCCTCAAGGTCTTCCTCAAATGCCACATTTTACAAGTCTTCTCTTAGCTTGAGCTTAGAGAATTCTACCCCGGGTTCATTTGTGTGTTGCTTAACGTTCATTGAGCAATGTAAGATACAGGGCTCTAACATAGACACTGGAAAGTCCATGGAGAGAAGAGGTAGCCGGGCTGAGAGGCAGCTCATTTGGTAAAGTCCTCCTTTCACAAGCATGAGGACCTGAGCTTGATTCCCAAATTCTACTTTTAAAAGCCAAGTGTGCTGGCTCCTGCCTGTATTTCAGCCCTGGAGATGTGGGGACAGAAGCGTCCCTGGGACTTGCTTGGCTGCCGATCTAGACATATTGGTGCATTCTATCTATGCTCAATTAGAGACATTGGCTCGAAAGAGAAGGTAGATAGTGACACCTAATATTAACCTCGGACCGCTACACATATGTGCTAATATGTGCACATGCATACACATGAACACATATGCAAATAAAATATAAAATAATTTAAAGACAGTGGTTCCTCTCCTCTGTCTGCTTCTACCTCACAGTTTACCACAAAACTAATCCCTCAGAAGAATTAGGATCTTCCTGAGGAGAAAGGTGCCACTGTTCAGTGAATTTAACAATCTGAAGATTTGTAGCTTCATCAGCCTCTGTGAACAAAACCAATATACTCACTTTATGAGACTGTCCCAGAGAGCTGCACTCTGTGATGGAATTTCCCTCAAGACCCACTCTCACCCCACCCCCAGCTCACACCCCATCCCATCTTCCACCCCACCCACAGCTCACACCCCATCCCATCTTCCACCCCACCCACAGCTCACACCCCATCCCATCTCCCACCCCACCCCCATCTCTCACCTTACCCCCATCTCCCATCCCCATCTCCCACCCCACCCCTATCTCCCACCCCATCCTCATCTCCCACCCCATCTCCCACCCATCCCCCCATCTCCCACCCATCCCCCATCTCCCACCCATCCCCCCATCTACCACTGTTCATTGAGGGACCTCACAGTCTCAGCTTTCCTGGATCCTGCACAGTTCTGGCTTGGTTCATGTGCCAACTCCAAACCCAGTCACATAACTACCACTTGCCGACTCTGCATCAGACACCTGTCCCAGCAGCCTCTGTATTCGGCATCTGGTTCTCAGAAGAGCTTGTAAAGATGGTTTTACAAAGGAAGAAACTGAGACCCATAAAACTTGGGAACATCTCCTTATGAGAGCTCATGCATCGGTGCCGGAAACGGGATTCAAACCCATGTCCCTGTGGTTGGCATTCTTTTATTCTACCTAGCCTGAACCTCTACCTGCCTCAGTGCATGCGAAATAAGAAAAGTTAACCCCATCACGACCTTCTCATAAGTCACTATAAATAGATATTTACACACAAGGGATACAGATACCTCACTTGCCTTCTGCATTCTGATTGGCAGAGATAAACACCTAAGTTTACATAGATAAGCATAGGTAGCTGGCACTGAAGATCAATGTCCTTTGGTAAAGAGGATTAGAGAACTTTTTTCAGCTCCGAGGCCAAAAGGTAAACTCTTCTTTTTGAGACAGAGTCTCATGTAGCCCAGAGTAGAATTGAATTTGGTAAGCAGCCTAGGATGAGTCTGAGCTCTTGATCCTCCTGCCTCCACCTCCCTAGTTAGACTATGGGCAGGTGGCACAGCTCCTGTTTTTATCCAGTGCTGGAGAAGGAGCCCAGCATTCACGCATGCTAATCCAGCCCTCTACCGAGTCATATCCTCAGCCTCAAAAGCACATTTCTTACCTGCGTACTCCTCAAATCTATACCAGGCCAAGCTCTGCAATATACACCGATGTAAAAGCCCTGTGAGCCTACAATCAGCCTACCCTGCCTCTAGTCCTGTCTAGTAGAATAAGAACACAGGAGACCTAGGAAGGGGCTTCTGAAGGACTAGGCATGCTGTTGAATTATCCCGTGTCGAGAAAAACCCAGCTATCTAAAAAATAGACCAATTATATTTTTCTTTATTATAAGGGGCAAACACAATACACAGGAACGAGAAGTCCAAGCTCAGCTGTGTAACGCGGGAACCACAGAGATAGCAAACCTTGCCCCACACCCCCCATCCCCCTCCATCTCCCCTCACCCCTGCGTTTTTCTCCTGGTACCCAAAAGTCACACTTTAACCTGATCCCACCCCTTAAAGATCATTGGCTGACAAAGATTCCCCCATCAGCATGCTGCAGGCAAAACATGGTGCTGGGCAGATCAAGTGCTCTCTCATGGAGTAAACAGGCACCTTTTCTGCAGGAAGGTGGGCGAGGAGAGAACATGCCCCTTCGAGAATTTTCCTGTTATTTGTAGTGATGCAGAACTCCTCGATAGCAGGATTATGGGGGCGGGGGATTATAGTCCTCTTATATAATAGAGAGAGGTGTCCTAGAACTCAGAATATAGACCAAGTTGGAAGCCTGAAACCCACGAAGACCCACCTGCTTCTGCCTGCCTAGAGCTTGGATTCACGGCGTGTGCCAGCACATCTGGCTCTCCCACAGTCTCTCATAACAAAGGTGGACAGCACCGTACAAATGTGCCTGCTCCCTTTCCCATTTTCCCGTTTCCATCCTTGCTCCTAAGGCCATCTATGCTTTTACATTGTTAAGATAGTTACTTTATATATGATTCTCTCAGACTATTTCACTGAAATATTTTTTTTTTCAAGACAGGGTTTCTGTAACAGGCCTGACTGTCCTGGAACTCGTTCTGTAAACCTCACACAGATTCCCCTGCCTCCGCATCCCGAGTGCTATGGTTAAAAGCGTGTGCCACCATGCCTGGCACAGAAAGAAATCATTTTGATGTATCCGTAAATATTCATATCTAAAGTCACGTCAGTCATGTGGTAGAATTATTTGCTCAGCCAATGAACACATGGATGCTATTAGCGTATGAACGTTGGGACTCCACAGAATCTGGTCTCCCAGAGGACACGTCCATATTTAAGGATCATTTATTTGTCCATCTTTGAACAGGTTGAACAGATCTGCACCTATTTCCTTCTCTTATTTTGCAGTTCTCTGTTGGTGCAATGGGTTCATGGTTCACAAAACTCATCTCACAAATCAGCAGGCCATCTCATTGTACTTTTATCCAAAAGATGAAAGGAACTGAAGACAACATACAGTATTTTAAAAATCTTTTAAGTACAAAAATGAGGCCAAACCACCCATAAATGTTTATCATTCTTATAATACTCCCTTTGGACATGCTCATTTGTCTACTTCGGTGTCACAAGATGTGAGGGGAGACTGCTTAGCAAGAATATTTCTCCCAACAGCAACCCGATAACCAGGCTTCCTCCCAGACTAGCTCAGAGCATGCGCACAGAGGTGGGGACGCAGGGCAGAACCGTGCTTTAGCCTCCGCAGCTGCCAGCAAGCCTAACAGACTTCGCTGGGATCCTTTATGCTCACCAGACATTGATATACTTTAAAGATGCCTCAACATTGGGGGATGAAACCATTAAAAACAAATAAATAAAAGAATAAGACCAAACCAAGGTCAAGACTGAAGTGAGTTGATATGGCACCAGTCCCTTGAAGACTGTCTCTTCTTTCTGACGCCCTCTAGGCTTTGAATCTCCACTGAAGAGCAGTTTCCCTGGCAGCTAATAAGGAGCCAAGAGCATCTGTGTTCCTCTGTTCACCGGCTGCATCCAGCACACCCCAGTGGGCAATCCCAGCTAACACCAGTGAAGTCAAGGGCAGTGCTCTACCTAAGGCAGGCCTGCCTGAATCAGCATGTGGCTGGTGTTTCCTCAAGATCACCCTCAAAGGAAATGAAGCTGGTACAAAGAACAAAATAAAAAATTGGATCTTTTAAGCTTTCTTTTTTTGACTTCCCAGGTAGGTAGCGTGTAAGTTGAGGTATCCTAAGGCAGAAAGAAAACTAGGGAAGTTTTCAGGTCTCATCTTAAAGGAAATAACATAGTTCTTTTTTCCGGTGCCAGATACAAGAGACCACAACCTGGGGAAGCAGATTCAGGTTGCCTCAAATACCACGTTCTACTATGAAGTAGTTACGGAACAAAGTAAGCCCTAAGTCAAGGAATTTACCAAACACACTGGTGGGAACCATAGCTAGCAGGTTTCTATCAACGTGTGAAATCTATTACAGGTCTCAGATGCCATCTTGGCTTCCAAGTTGATGGAAGGCAGTGATTTATCGAGAAGACATTTTAAATGTTTTGATAGCCACTGGATGTTAGGTCAGACATAGAACTCAACAACGAGGACGTTCCAAGGGACTAAAATTCACCCAGGATAATTTGGCCATGGCCTAGAGTAGTTTAATTCCCCGCAATGGCCCATGTCAGTCCTTCATCCCTGTGAATCTTCATCACAGGAGTGGCTCTTCTTCCCACCCCCAGTGATAGTTCACACCAGCATGTATTTTTTTTGAAAGTACAAGAAAATAATCCAACTGTGAAAAGACAATGACATCAGCATGTTTAGGAAGCCCCAATTGTGAATCGCTGGTTGAAACAGTGAGTGGTATCTTTCAAGTCTTTTGCCAATGAGCAAGGAGAAAATTTTTACAGTGTAATCTTCTGTCCATCAGGAGATTGCCTTGTCCAGCTGTAAAAGTCTCTTAGACAATCAGACAGCAGCATAGAGAACAGAGGTTCATGCAACTGACAGGGTCAGTGGTCTCTCCAAGAACAAGTCATATGGTTTCTGCAATTTAAAAAAAAAAATGCTGAAGCTAGAATCTTGAGTTCTACTTTTTTGCAATTTTTAAATTTAATTCTATTTGTTTTTTGAATTTTTTGAGATGTTGAACATGCAATAAAATGCACACATTATATATGCATATATGTGCTCAGCTTTGCCATATCATTAAGCTTGATGACTGATTGACATATCAAATCTCTGCCAACCTCCATGCACTCTATAAAATTTGATCTGAAGAACCCAGTCTTATCTTCCCAGATTGTGAAGACCCAGCCTGTAGGTTATCAAACAAATCTGAGGTGGAAAAAAAGCCGTCTATCTTCTCGTTAGCCACAGCATTTACTGCCATCAGTACCGGGGTCAGATTTAATAGATGCCTGAAAGAACAGTCGATGTGTTGAATTTAATGCTCATGTTTGCAAAAATTAGTGCAGAACATTAATAGAAGGAAATCACCATTCGTCTACATGAGGATCGGCCTTAAGTGATGAGAAGCCGTCATCAACAACTTTATGAAACCAACACATTATGTCACCATCCCGAGACTGTGCTGTAGGCTGACCACCACATTCATGAAAAGTTTAACATCCAAGATTATAGTTAATGACATCGAGAAAACCCTCATGATGAGAGTCTGATGGAGGAGCAAGCAGGAGTCTCTTGTTCTCCTTCTCAGGTCTTTGCCAGCAAGAAGTCATCTCCAGACAGGGCCCCTCCACTCTAGGACCTAAGCATACATTTATTGTATATATTATTGTATATCAAGTTTCCTGCCTCCAGGTTTTCCTTATAGTCACAAAGACTGCAGGTTTGCAAGCATCAGAACCTCCGGTTTGGGAAGTGCTCAAAGGAGGAAGAGCACCTCTTCACCTTGCCAAAGTATATTGGGGAAATAGCGTTTCCAAAATCTGACTCCTGGAATAGCTAGCTCCCTACTGCTGACAAGGTCAAGCAGAGCCCTTGGTCAGGTTTCAGGTACCCCACCCCTCCGCCTTGCTATGTATATTCATAGGCACTGGAACAAGGCTCCAGTGGGCCTGTTCTTTGTTGTGTATTCCTGTGATTATGTCCTGCATAAGCGGTGCCTTCCACTGGCCGGTACCCGATCTGGTCCTTTGATGTCTTCCACAATCCAGGCTCCTGAGGTCATTCACTTCCTTCTCGTCCCTTCTCTTTGTACTCTTCATACTTCATTCTCTTCAGACTGATTCTTTCTTGCCTTCCTACTTTCGCGGCTGCCCTTGCCTTGAGCCCTTCCTCTCAAACTCTGTAATCCCTAACAACCTATCAAGACCCAGAGACAGCACGACTTGGCTAAACTGTTAACCCTTGTTATCCCATTTTCCTCCTATTAATCTTTCTTTTCCGACCTCTCAAAGCACCAGTCAGTGGCGCAGGGCACGGGACTTGGTTCTTGATGCTTTACCTAATGTATCTAATTGTTTTAACCTTGCAGAGTCCTCAAGGACAAGGTTAGACACTCTCTATCTGTGACAGGTCCCAGCGAGGGAGGTGTGCTGTCTTCATTTAGGCTGTTCAAATATTTTCTCTGCCTGAGGCCACCCTAGGGAACCGAATCAACAAACACTTGGTGCCTGCGTCCCTGCTGGCTTCCAGGCATGATTCCCTGGCCATTTCAGCTTCCTTATTTACATAAGAGCCTCACAGGTGAAAATCTAAATGAGCCAGAGATTAGGGAGACTTGGCTGATATTAACGCTCATGAATATTTAGCAGGGCTTGCTCATCAGCTGGGGTAGCGAGGTCTCCCTGGCACTCGCTGAGCTATAATGACTGCTGGCATTTAATTGTGCTCATCCGATAGTAGCTAAGCCATGGGGGAAGTAGGTGAGCGAGACACGCAATACAGTGTGGCATTATGGTTTAAATCAAAGTTGCACACGGCTCTTACATCCTTCTAAAGTGATTTGGGGGAAGGAGAGGGTAGCAAAGGAGAAACTTGCAGGTATCGAACTAATCCTCCACCGCTCATTCAGGCAGCTCATCTTCCATGACAATTTCTATGTTGGACTGATCTCAAGAAAAAAAAACTATTACTAAAAATATTAAAAATGAAAGCAAGCCACTGTAATCAGAGGACTGCTTGGAATCAGAAGGCAAGGGGTCTCACAGGTTCAGCCTAGTATCACCTAAGGGAGACTTGCTACATGGAGATCTCTGCGTAGCTCAGGTTCTCCCATGTCAGCCTAAGAATGACTGGTATTGTAGCCATCCTGGAGGAATGAAGACCTAAAGCCCCTCCTGCTTCAGTTATCACACTATTGAAACACTGGAGCCCAAGATGGAATTTCCGTAGGAATTTCACAGTGGGAGAAGAAAAAGGCTGAAGCCTGGTCCCAGTCAGGGAGAAACTGATCTCTCAGAAAGCCCACGGGTGCTGAGAATTTGTCAGACTGCCATGCTAAAGAGACTGGGACAGAGGCAATGCTGGGTCAGTGGTGGGTGGGACTTGATGGAGGATGGCTGAGTCACCATACCTGTTGGCCTCTGTTTAAACCACCTAGTGTCGGGTGTCTGGCAGGGTATCACAGGACCTCATTGCTCCTCTTCCCAATGTGGCCTCATTGGACAAATCTCTTTTCTTCTCCTCACTATCGCTTGTCTCTTTAATTGGCCTATTGAGTACTGGTGGGCAGCACCTTGCATGTTAGGGCTGCCAGAGTTCAGGCTCTGACCCTGCCAACTCCAGGAACTCACCAGACACCTGGAGCTACAGCGACTATAGAGGAAGCATCTCGCTGATGCTACCCTCGAGGAAACATCCTCATCTTTTCTAGAAGAGGTACATGAACTCAAACATTGACTCCTGGGGATCTAGACTAGGGTACCAGGAGCCTCCATGCATGGGACTCACCATGATCGGGCCCCAAACACAAGACACCAAGCCTCCTCCTCCTGCACACCCTCACTGTAAAAGCATATCCTGTCTGAGTTAGTACCTGATTCCAGCATCCAACGATGCCTGTGCATTGAGCATCCTGAAAATGCCTCGCTGCATAAATGACTACATAATTCAATTCAAAAGATTCCCTTGCTGGGCACTAGGGACATAAAAAAGTATAAAATAGGATTCTTTTACATTAAAGGACCCTTCTAGTCCCAGAAATGACATAGATGAATGGTATCTCACCCAGATGAATAATATTCAATTTCTAACAAACAAAAGTCTGCTGGCTTGGTTTCTTCACAAATTTATTTGAAAGATGTGTTTGGAACAGTCCACATTAAAACACAATTCTGTATGAAACTCACTCTGAATCTCATAGCCAAAACTGGGATGCAATGAAAGGCCTGATCATCGAGAAAGACAAGTCAGGGGTGTTAAATTGTCATGGGTAAGGACAAGCCTAAACAAGGCTGGCATTTTTACTTAAAAGATCGACCAAAATTACAGGTGTTGACTTACAGGTGAGTTGCCTCTCACTAGAGCAATGCTGTGTGCTAATCAAGCTGAGCTCCATCAGCGTTGGTTATTTAATGGTAGTTAATGGTTCTCAAGGAAAGCCGGCAATCTGAGTAGCTGCTGATTCTTAGCTGTGGCTATGTTTACCAGTCCTTGTCCCCACCAATGACAACATCCTTCCTGACTCTTGCTATGCCTACTGTGCAAATGAGTTCAGTTAGCAGTCAAGAATTAAGTGCTCAAAATGACAACTTGGGAAATATCCCAACTAGGAACTGAGCCCCAGACTCTGTGACTCCAAAGCCCATGGCCTCTGCTCCTAGGAGAAGAAGGGGCTGGAATGTGAGACATGACAACTTTTCTCCCAGATAAGTCCAAAACACAGAAACTACACCATGGGGTCCGGAGTCGGAGGCCAAATTGTCCAGACTAGGGATGGACAGCTTTGGTTTTGTAAGGGATGAACAACAGACAAAGCTCCTCTCTGGGGGAAGCCATGGATGTGTGGAAAGAGTCCAAGGCATTTTCTCTACCCAGTAGGAAACAAAGCTCCGCCAAGAGTGAAGCATCTCTGTGCCGCTCACCTGACCACAGCCTGCCCCACTTATTACCACCTCCCTCCCTCCTCTTTCTGGCCTCTTCCCAGGAAGAGCTGCCATTCCAAACTGAGTGTTAATCATTCTCTTGCTTTTTCCTTTAAATGCCACTACTTAGGTTTGTCAAGAAATCTCCACCTAGATTAACCTGATTGAAATCATCACAGTGTTTATACAAAATGAACAGGCTCCAGAGGGAAAGCCATAGTCACCACAGTTAAAATATATAAACCAGCAGCCGTATGAAGAAAGGTGGAGCCAGTGGTGGGGTGATGGCCCCCTTCATGCTCTGCTAGCGAGCCCCTTCTGATCTTCCATTGGCTTGAACTTTTCTCCTTTTATGGAAATTCAGAGAGAAGACACCTATGTCCCAGGGTGGTTTGTTTACATTTGGTATCTAAAAGATATTTCCATGTTTACATATTCATAATTTTTTCCCTAACAAACCAGAAACATCTCCACAAGTTAGAATTATCCCTGTCTCCATGTCTTGCAGACATAACAGAATCCCAAAGTGCATTCCTGTCTTCTCCTCCACCCCCCTTTCTTCCTTTTCTTACCATGGTTGTGATTCTAGTCTGCTGGTGCCCAGGAAGTCTTGACCCCATGACTCCAATCTGTTCTTAGTGATGTTTTGTTTATTAATGTCTGTGGTTGGCTCACTCTTGGTAAGCTTAGTCAAGTTATTTTCATTACAGTGGATTCAAGTCAAACAGCTCCTTTCCTGGTACTAAATGGCCAATACACCTTCTCTCCCATTGTCCCCATGCAGTTTACGGTAGGTCACCTAGAATTTCAACCAACACAGAACATGGCAACCCACACCTTTCAGTTTTCCTTTCCTGCGGTCTCTAGTTTTCTTCTAAGAGCTGCACAGCTTAAACTCATAAAATTCCATTACATGATTCTCCACCTCTCTTGACATCCCACAATTCCTCATGGCCGACAGAGTCTGTGACTCAGCTTCCAAATTCAGATAAAAAC